CATCCCCAATTACTCCGGTCTCGTACTGTCTTTATTTTCGTCTACTGCTTTCATATTTTCAGCCGTCAGTAACTGCCTATTGCTTTGGGGGGTTGTCTTAAACCAACTGTTTTTATCTCTACCCAGACAGTCTAATCCTCTTTGAAACCGCAGGATATGTGAGACAACAGAAAGATGCATATGTTTTCAGCTGTGCCTATAACTTTGTTTTGAATTACCCCAACTGCAGATTTCTCTGCCTTTGAGCCACAGAGGTTCTCTGTTTGGATTCCTTGGTCTATAATATACCCTCCAAGCATTTGTGAAAAAGTCTTTCAAAGCTTTTCTTACCATATAACGGATTATGTTTTCACTGGGTAATTTAATTCTAGAATACACGGACCGAGGGCAGTACAAACAACGAGCTTATCTCCAATTTCAAGGATCGTCTACATAATACCCGAATTACAGATTTGTAACAGGATTTTCTGGAGAATATAAGAATCCATTACAGTATGAGCAAATACACACCGAAAGCAAGAATAAATGCTTTTAAATCATGTATGCCGTTAGCATAATCTTCAAAGAAAGAAAATTTAGTGGGTCATCTAAGAAAACGACATGATGCAAACAGCGGGAAATGGAAATTTAGAAGCAACAACGAAATTCATAATTTGTTCAAATCACCAATTATCACTGGCATAATGAGATCTAATAGACTAAAATGGCTTTAGCATATAAAGAGAATGTCAAATGACAGAGAGGTAAAAACTGTACATGCAAGGAAGCTGAATGGTCGTAGAATCAGTTGTCAGAATCAGCGGAAAACTAAACTACCAAATGGAATTCAGTTGATAGAATTCAGCCACTGTGATAGATAATTACTGATACGTAAAAGCTATTGGACAGCTGGTTGTGACATTATCATCACATAATTCAGCCATCACCATCCCTACAGCCATTATCATCACATCCCTGCAGCCATTATTATCACATCATTACATCCATTATCATCACCATCATGACAACCATTATCATCACATCCCTGCAGCCATTATTATCACATCATTACATCCATTATCATCACCATCATTACAACCATTATCATCACCATCATTACATCCATTATCATCACCATCATTACAACCATTATCATCGCTTCTACAGCCATTATCATCACCATCATGACAACCATCATCATCGCTTCTACAGCCATTATTATCACATCATTACATCCATTATCATCACCATCATTACAACCATTATCATCACATCATTACATCCATTATCATCACCATCATTACAACCATTATCATCGCTTCTACAGCCATTATCGTCACCATCATTACAGTCATCATCATCGCTACTACAGCCATTATCATCACATCATTACAGCCATCATCATTGCTACTAAAGCCATTATCATCACATTATCATAGCCAACGTCATTGTCATTACTACAGCAATCATTATCAACGCCATCACTACAGCCATCATCATCACATCATTACAGCCATCATCATCGCAACTACAGCAGACATCATCATCGCCATCATAGCTGCCATCATCATCGCCATCATAGCTGCCATCATCATCGCCATCATAGTAGCCATAATCTTTATATCAATACAGCCACCACCACCACTGATATTTCTACACACTACAGTCATTACATGTATGATTATCGTCATCTCACGTCTTAAATAACTACTCTATGATCATAGTCTCTTAGCCCAGTGCAACAATTATTGTACTTTTTTTCCCCCGGTCATTTCCGTGCATTTTCTTTTCTCACTGCCGGCGTTTATCTCCTTTAAACACTGAAGAGCTTCTGTTTCAGTTATATTTTCATCCTGTACCAAGCTGAATTTTGTGAGGGCCCTTTGGGAGCGAGTGAAGAGTACCGATGCACAGATAGATCATTACGGTCTGAGGAGATTGGCACTGCGAGGAGTTACAAGGGAATCTGGCTGACTCTCGACACTCAGAAGAAAGTAGACGTCCAGAAAAAAAAAAGAGTGGGAGCGGAAAAGGATCCTTCACTTCACTTTATGATATATATATATTTATTTTCATTACTTTATATTGTAATTCCATACTTCCGTCGTGTGTTTCAACCGACGAACACAATCAGTCTGTCTATCTAACGATCTTAATTGTGGTTTTTGTTTGAGAGAGAGTGTAAATTACACGCATTCATTAAACAAAATGGTGCTAAAGCTTTATTTTACCGGGATACGGGGTACCACGGGTGTTGCCTTTTAGTAAACACTGCGATTATCGGTTAGATCGACGCTAGTCTCTCCAAATCCCGCCCATATACACAATATTTCACTGATTGGTAGTTCCTGAGCCCCGCGCCTTCGCACATGGTTATAGTGTGTTCCGCAGTGCTGTTGATATCGCATGTTGTATATTTTAACATGTGTCCGGTATACCAATCGTAAGCTTGTCGCTCGGTTATATTTTCATCCTGTACCAAGCTGAATTTTGTGAGGGCCCTTTGGAAGCGAGTGAAGAGTACCGATGCACAGATAGATCATTACGGTCTGAGGAGATTGGCACTGCGAGGAGTTACAAGGGAATCTGGCCGACTCTCGACACTCAGAAGAAAGGCGAGACGGATATACAATCCGACAGTTACTGATACCATCGGAATTTAACTCTTCGCTTTCTGCTGAAGATGGGGACGGGGCGCTTATAGGGGTGTCCCGAGTGCTGTGATGTCGATTCTTGATTCAACATTCAACATTTCTTCCTGTTCAAAAATCTTCATTTATTTATTATAATTTTCTTGAAATATAAATGACAAACATCATATACGCAGTAGACAACCAGAAAAAAATAAAAAAAAAAGAGTGGGGGCGGAAAAGGATCCTTCACTTTACTTTATAATATATATATATTTATTTTCATTACTTTATATTGTAATTCCATACTTCCGTCGTGTGTTTCAACCGACGAACACAATCAGTCTGTCTATCTAGCGATCTTAATTGTGGTTTCTGTTTGAGAGAGAGCGTATATTACACGCATTCATTAAAAAATGGTGCTAAAGCTTTATTTTACCGGGATACGGGGTACCACGGGTGTTGCCTTTTAGTAAACACTGCGATTATCGGTTAGATCGACGCTAGTCCCTCCAGATCCCGCCCATATACACACTATCTCACTTCTGATTGGTAGTTCCTGAGCCCCGTGCCTTCGCACATGGTTATAGTGTGTTCCGCAGTGCTGTTGATATCGCATGTCGTATATTTTAACATGTGTCAAGTATACCAATCGTAAGCTTGTCGCTCGGTCGTCCAGGAACGCAGACTGCTCTAATTATGCTACCGCAACGACTTCTTACCTCACAGTACCTTCAGCAAATCACCAAGTCGTATTGTCCCTATCCGAACACCATCCGGTAATTTCGTGCAGCAGGGAAACCAACCCTGAGCTTCATGAACTCAGGTGGGCCCACTCTCTGAAAACGTCTAGGAGCTCGTGGGCCGAAACGTTTGTCGACGAGAGATTACTTCTACTGACGGTTGGTAGATCCATGCTGTACATGCTCCCCTGTGGAGTTTATTCCTATATCTCGCCAGCGCTTTTAACATTCTAAAAACGTGGATAAGCTGGGTCTAACACAACCCCCTAGAGAGTGCTGCAACCTATTTCACATTCTCTTACTCGGAAGGAAAACGTAAATGCATTGAAGAAACCAAACAACATATTAGGACACACCCATAGCCTTCAGGAAAGTCGACCAGCCTTACAAACTTGTGAATGCAAAGTGACCTACTCGAAGTGGAGTGACTAACGTCGAACTAACCCGATTGCTTTGAGAAACCTCAGATGCTTGACCTAAATATTCTTAGGCACGTTTTCACCAGACCCTTTACTACAGCGATCTCCACTTTCGACAATTCCATCCGTTAGCCTCTTGTCTGTGATACACTACCACTTGATTCTGATTCGCATATCTCCACTGATCATTATTCCCCGCACGCTACTTCTATGTTAGATATTATCACACACACAAAAAATCGTTCCCATTCCTTGAAGCGTATTGTGAGCATAGTTCAGTAATTTAAAATTAAAGTAAAATAACGTAAAATAAGGCAAATCAAAGCAAAATAAAGTCAAACAAGGCAAAGCAAAGTAAAATAAGGCAAAATAAGGCGAATCTCAGTTAAATAACGTAAAATAAGGCAGATCAAAGTAAAGTAAACTAAATGACCCTGTTTACTCTGGTGACGTACCAGGCATACGATGCTAGACTCGTAATTTTTTATTGAATCAAAATTCAGTGGACGATGTGGTCGACATCACACCTGCCGCGTTTACTTCCACAGGCATTACTTGGCACCCATTTACTACTGGGTGGATCTGCCAACCGCGGTCTGTTTTACACATCTGAAAACTCGCAGCCAACAGGCAAGCGTCTGTCCAATACGCTACAGCGGCTCCCTAGGTGTACCCAAAAAAAAAAGTAAAGGTTACCTTTACTTGCCAGTGGCGCATCGTTCATATTAGGCCACCTTTACTTCCCTAAACTTTACCTTGTTCATATTTAAGTCAGGGTAGACCTGGGAGCCATTTATAGAAACAAATCTGGTTAAATGCCGATTTGAGCCCATGGCCTTCAGATCCAGAGGCGTTTGTCTCGCGACTACATCACAGATGCTTTCACTAAGTATATTGCGTAAGCTCACAGTTTTAAAGAAGAATAGGCATTGGGTGGGTTGGTCAGGTCTACATCACACCCACTTCCTTTTTTTACAGGGCAGTTCTACACTACCTAACTTCTTAAGATAAATGCAACTGACTATGTAGCTTTTCAGATCTTTATATTATTCACAGTGTTTGTAAGTCGGCGTCTGTGGTTGAGGCGTTGCTTCGTAATGCTGGGGTCCCGGGTTCGGTAGTTTAGTTTTGAATCGAAAGCAAAGCCATCTTCTTGTGGCAGGTGTAACTGTGAAAGTTAATTCCATATTTGTTGTTTTCAAGTTTAAGAGACTTTCACGTGTACTACTATGGCAGAATCAGCAGTCGAATCGGTGAAATTAGCAGCCAACAATGTTACAAAGAGGCTCGAAAAAGAACTTCGGACACTAATGATGTCTGGGATATCTGCATTTCCAGAAGGTGACAACATGTTCAAGTGGATTGAAACCATTGAAGGAGCCAGCGGAACTGTGTATGAGAATCTGGCATACAAGTTGTCACTGAATTTTCTTGCGACATACCCTATCGAGGCAGTCAAGGTGAAGTTTGAGACTCCCTGCTATCATCCAAATGTGGACAGCCAAGGAAATATCTGTGTGGACATTTTGAAGGAGAAGTGATGTTCGGACTGTGTTATTGTCAATACAGAGCTTACTTGGAGAACCAAATATTGACAGTCCACTAAATGCCCAGGCTGCTGATCTATGGAACGATCAAACATTGTATAAAAAGGTTCTGTTAGAGAAATACAACAAAGAGGTGAGAAAATCTAATGACTCGACACAGCAGCTTCACAAACTCTCCTGATGTTTTACATTCACCAGCATTAGAACACTTGACAGATTTCATAATAAAGAATTTTAACTAATAAAAATAATAAAAAAAAGACGATTTGACTTGTGCTGGTTTTGACAGTAGCACCGAGAGCTGACCGCTCAGAGCAATGGCAAACTACTGAACCTAAAAAACCACAACAGCTAATAAATGCTAGGGCTGGTTCAGCAACGTGCTGTAAAGTATAGGCAACGAACCTTTTTAGTGTTTGTACAGTAAAATCAAATAAGTTGTGCGTTACATTGAACGGCAACTGCTATAACTGTTTCTCTTGAGTGTTGAGCTGGACGCTTTTCACCAAATTCATGATTTGGTAACTACAATATGTAATAAAGTTTCATTTGGCAGCAAACTGGAATACTTTCAGTAGACAAAGATCATGAGCATTCTATGTTTCCACCGAAATATTGGCCTTGTCATCCATATATCTTATCGAAACATTTGCGGATGAGGGATCACTTTGTGTGTGTGGGTGTGTGTGTGTGTGTGTGTGGGGGGGGGGTGTATGTGTGGGGGTGTGAGGGTAGGTGTGACGGTGTGTGGGTGGGCGGTTGTGTGTGTGTGCGTGTGCGTGCGCACATGTCAACAGCAACTGGTGTCACAAAGTCACACAGTGTCATGTAATGATGATGATGATGATGACGAGGATAATGATGATGATAGACGTAGTGATAACGTTACGCCCGCTTTGTTTGAAAAGTAATATAGATAATGTAACCCATGTAGTATAACATCGAGGGCAAGCAGATGAATTAAAGTTACGTGACTGAAAGACAGAAATTGGCCCCTATAGATATTGGCGGAAAACGAACTGCTTCTGGATAAGTTAGATTCCGTTTGCTCACACATGAACAATCAATACGGATTATGGCAAATGGTTTCAATGGGAAGGTCTTCTTTACCTCTGGTCAATGATCGACTTTTGGGAAGCACTGGCCACTGGATATGTATTAATAAAATGAGTGGGCTTAAACATGTACTTCAACAGACTAGTGTATGTATACTCATGCCCCTTATTACATTAGAGCTGGCACAAATACATACACACACCATATAGAAACATAGATAGATGGATGGATGGATTGATAGATAAATAAATAGGCAGACCGGCATAATGTGTGTATATATACAAATAAAGTATGTATAGATGATTAAAAATATACATCACATACATACCTACGTGCATATATATATATATATATATATATATATATATATATATATATATATATATATATACACACACACAAACCTACATGAGTGCGTGCATGCGTCCATCGCTCTATACATACATACATACATCTGGTGCCGTCTCCATAATGAAAGTTAGCTGCAATTGATCTCCAAAACTCTATTCCTTCGATGTTAGCTGTACACTCACAAGACTGATGTTCCTGCATCTCCTGAGGAACTCCCACTTGTACCGTTGTATATCTCTTGCTTTCTTGCCTTTGATTTCTCCCTCCAGTACGGCTTGGTAAAAAAAAATGATGAATTTTGTGACTGAAACATCTGAAAGGTCTATTTGAAAAAAAAAAAAAAATTAGTAATTTGTTTTCATTCACAGTCTCATCAGAAAGTGTGTGTTTGATTGCTTTAGTTTTCATTCAATACCACACATTCTTCTGTATATCTACATTTCCAAAGACTCAGTTCGATGTTCTAGTTTCTTGTTCATTGTCAGCGACGTCCGTGGCTTAGACTTTACGAGCCCAACTCATAATTCCAACATACCACGATTGAACACCCCCCCCCCCAACCTCCGCTGACTGATTAGATTTTTATCGTTATGGGGCGTCGGTGGTCTAAATGTGTACCAGGATGTATGTACTGGGGAAGTAAAGACGCCCGGCGTAATGCTGACCATATTACCCACCTAGTGCCGATTGGTCTGTAAAAATATGGGTGCTCTTCTTATATGTCCGATGCGCCTAAAAGCGTGAAAAGGCATCTTTACGTTACTTGTTTGTTCATTTGTTTAAGCTTCTTCACCATTCAGCAAGGTTGAGCATACATAACATTTGATGATACTAATTATTACCGTGTGGTTTATCTCTCTAGCTGTCAATAATTTTCACTTTTTATTAAAGACAGTTTTAGTCTCGTTATTCTCTCTTTTTTTTTTTAATCATTTCTGTTCGTCTACTACCACAATCGGTTACTACAGGTCCGAAATAGGAGACACGTATTATTTATTCTTAAATCTTTCCGCTGACGGTAAAGTACAGTGCTGGTCGCTTCTGTCCATAGTTTTTTATCATACTTTCTAGTTTTCGAATGGTAATGTCTATACCATACTACGCCCTTTGTCTACGTACAAACATACATACATACATACTTACACGCATACAGACATACAAACATACATAGATGCACACATCAGGTGATGTGGTTATTAACATCACGGCCGCTACGCTAACTCAAAGGTGTTTTCCGTGTACCCATGTCAGGCCGGTCGAGCTTGAAGCCAAGTTCGTTAATCCGAGATGTCTGGGCTCTCGGCTAAGCGTTTAGTTGTGTACGCTGTGACTCGGGAGTTAAATGTCAATCTTACGTTGGCACAATGGGTCACTGTGTAACGTGACGTCTGCACAACACTTATGAAAGGTCACCGACTCTTGTTTTCTTTCTTTTATGGTCCATGTATAAGTATGACGCGGTGTGGAGAAAACAGAAAGGAGCCCGGATCATCGACGTGGCATAGAAATAAAGGAATGCAAAACACACACACACATACACACGGAGAAGGGATCTAGAGTGTGAAGTGTGAAGTTGCAAAGATGGGAGGACATGGGGAGAGCTGCATGCCATAGCAAAGGATAGAACAACTTGGCGTGAGTTGGTTGAGAGTCTGTGCTCCATTGGGTGTTAGAAAGGCAGACAAAGAAATACAATTAATGCAGTGTTTTCCCGACGTGAATTTGAACAAAGAAGACACAAACAATAGACTGCACAATTTATTGCCTGGCATATTTCGCTGTATCTCGTCAGGTGCATACTACAGTAACAATTGATTAAAATATTGCAAATAGCTGAATCCTAGAAACTGAAACACAAATTCGAGTACATTCTAAACTGTTTCACCAAGGTAACCGTAAGGTAATGACCATTTCTTTCTGCCTACAGAGATCTGCCTTCAACCGGCTGATCGCGGAGTAATCTGCGGTTGGTCGAATTTAAATAATTCGAAATGCATCATCCCTGTTAATGATGTGCACGGAATTTAGAATATAGCGCGCAATTGCTGATGATAGATTTTGTCGACCAGTCACCTGATTCGTTGTTGAGGTGTTAGTGTTCTGCATTGCTGTTACCACCTATAGTGAAATATGTTCAGCAACCCATTTCTCCAGTCGTCGATTAGTTCTGCCAACATATGCAGCGTTACAGGTGCATTATTTAAATTGGTAAATACAATTAGATCTGGCGTACGTCGACCAGTACGACGACCGGAGAAACGGGTTGCCGAACATATTCCTCTATGGGTGGTAAAAGCAGCTTTAGCTAACAAATAAATCAGGATTATGTTCCTTAAGGCCTCCCGCGCCATGAAAATGCCTGCCAGAGAGACACATTCAAGGAGAAACAACACCACAATGCAGTCAACAAAAATACTAAACGTTATACTCAGCCCGTTTAACGTGACTAAATTGATGTCATAAAAAAATCAAATCGAAATAAAATCTAAGCACAATAATAACATTGGTTAACACCTGCCTGTCTGCTGACTGGGTGTCATGCGTTCGAACCCAGAATGAAAGCTATTAGAAGTGTAATGAAGGGAATTCCCAGGTAGGTCTGAAGTTTTTCCTAAGATGATGTAGTGGTATTACAGACAGGTGAGAGACGGATGAAGCAAGAGAAGTGATATTCACTTGTGATACTGAATACTCACAAGACTAAATCCCGTGAGGGGGGGAACAAGGGTTTTTAAGGACAAATGAGACAGAAGCAGTTGTTGGTTGACCGTGTGAGAGGCAAGTGGTTTTGTATGGAGTGGCCGAAGTTAACGTCGATTGTGAGCTGAGGGAACGATGACTTGGAAAGCCAGGAATATCTAAAGAGAACTGATTCTGAATTGTGATGGCCAGTGACTGTGAACTTTATGGTGCTGAGATCTGGATGTGAAATCCCCGAGTGAATTACCCATTGGTCTTCTTCTTCTTCTTCTTCACTTCCTATTTTACCGCTGTGGGTTTCGAGGGAGATATAAGGTTCTGTTTCTGGCTCTTCTGGCCGCCTCGACCATAGGCACGTCGTGCTGTTGTAGAGCTTCTCTGATGTTATCCTTCCATCTTGTTCTTGGTCTACCTCTTGCTCTACGACCTTCTTCTCTTTCCATGTATGCTTTGTATGGTATGGTGTCACAAGGCATTCTCTCTAAGTGGGCAAACCATTTCACTTGCTGTCTTTGTATGTAATTTAGAATTGGTTATGTGCCAACTTTTTCTCTTATGATCTCATTCCTGATCTTATCTCTTATGGTCACTCCTACAGCCCTTCTCAGACATCTCATTTCCATGGTTACCAACTTTCTTTTATGGTTTGTTGTGACTGACCATGTCTGGCACTGGTAGCACAGATTTGGAATAAATATGCTTTGAATAAGATGTCTCTTTGTGCTGATTGGGATTGTCTTATGCTGTAAGAGGGGAGCTAGCTGTCCAAATACTTGGTTTGCTTTACTGCATCTAATGTTAATTTCTTTATCCAATTTCCCATCTTCGGTAAATGTAGTTCCCATATATTTAAACTCAGATGCCTGTTTAATGCCTTTGTTCTCTATTGCTATGTTTAGATCTGTCTTCTTTTTTCCTATTGACATTACTTATGTCTTTTCAGTGTTGATTCTCATATTATTTGTTTTACATTCTTCATTCATGGATGTTAGATGTTGTTGCAATTTCATGGCTGTATCTGCTATAAAGGCCTGGTCATCTGCAAAGAGTAATTCGTTGATCTTACTAACATTT